AAACTACATTCTCTGATACATACTCCACATCTCCCCCAGATGTTAGTGAAAATAGTGTTATAATTGTCAACTAGAAGACCCAAAAGAGAAGAATTAAAAGAATTAACATTGCTTCTGCATATCTAATAACACCTCATGAGCAGATAAAATTTTGATACAAATTTTAAATACATAGTCACTTCATTGGACATAAAATATACAGTATTTAATTTTTACCCAAATCATTTAATGGGTGACCTCATGCCTTATTTTCTGTGCACTATTGAACTGTGAATTGGGAAAGAATTATCAGGTCCCACGATGAGCTGTTTGGAGCACACATCAGAGCAGTGTCAGAGTGCTTACCAATTCTAATTATTTTCCACAGGCCTGCATTGAGACAAGGATCTATTATTAGCCCCATTGCACAGAGAGTTAAGACAAACAGTGCATAAGGTCAGAGTATTTGCTAATTTTGGATACCCATTTGAGATGGGTATGATGTGATTATTTGCTGTTGTGTACCACTCCCCACTCCTAAATCAGAGTTCTCATTAATAAATTTAGATAAAGGGCTCAAGGACTGAGCTAAAACCATGAGGATTAGCTCTTCCTCTAACCTCATCCTATTCTCATTAGTCAAAATTGCCAAGACTTCTTTGCCTAGCTACCACTGTTTTACATTGTGAGCTGCTTTTACTCTAAGTTTCTGATGTCCCTTCTTCAGCCTGTTCCATTCACACCTTGTCACTAAAGCACTCCAGGATTCCTATCTTGTCATTGCCTAATGTGATTCTCTTTCCTCTGTCCTACCTTCCTTTCATCAAAGCAACCTTCACTGTTTTTCCTGCATTTCCAGTCCTTTATGACACTCATCTGCCTTCTCTCCCCAGGACTAATCCTAGTCCTTTATCCTTTGCCTCTAATCCCTCTGGAAATCTGTGCACTAATCAAAGTTTTCACAGGTATAGATGTTATTATGAAATATATTAAATAAAACAGGCAGGAATTGACAATTGCTATTTTGATTACATTTGAGCACAAGGAAGCCAAGTGACAGTCACATGGGGCAGCATGTGCTAAAGAGATCAGATATCTGCAAACTTAGAGGGCTGATGTCTTCATTAGAAAAAATACTGGCTTGTTTAATGTACTTATATTTCTCAAAGCATCAAGAGAAAGTCTACCTATAAAAGCATCATCAATATTTGTAAATGCCCTTACAAGTTTTATGGGAAAGAGATCTAGATGTGCAAATAATCTCATTTGTAAGCATATTGAGGCAATCAGGAGTTATGCAAAGATGCTGGCCAGCAAAGAAGTAATAAAACAAAGATAAGCATACTTTCAAAGCAAATATTCCCCTAGCTAAGTACAAACTGTGAGTTACAACAACATAATCAACTATTAGAGAAAGTCTTACATTAAATACAAAGCCTGCAAAGCTGAAATTTTTTTACAAGTATTTTCAAGTAAAAGCTGCTATTAGTCTACAACATATCTTAGACAACTCTACACCACAACCTTCATAGAAAATAAAGGAAAATGTCCTTGAATAAATCAGTTTGATTACCATCATCACAGTGAAAGCCAAGACCATGGCAAACAATCCCAGAGGCAAACCTTCCAAACCATGAAGCATAAGTTCATCAGACTTCTTCTAATTCCAGTGAGTAGTTAAAATATTTTTACTGTAGTAATGACAAAATAACCCAAGGTATTCCCCACACCAAGTCCTCTTTTCCAGTATTACAAGAGCAGCACAGCACTAAATATTGCTTGAAGCATTTATTCCTTCTAATGGACTATTCTAAGGACTTGATCAACTTTGAAGACCACACTCTGCAGTTTAGGGGCAGAACCCAAACCACAAAGTATGACAAAGTTTGACATTTCATACTCCATGCTGGCATTGCTGAAGCAATATAGGTATAACTCCAAAGCTCCTACAGAAATCTATACAATGCTTCTTTTTTTATTATGGAGACAAGCTACTAGTTTGTGCTAAATCTACCTTTTATAGTCTATTCCTTTATATGATAGCATTATTTTGCTTTCTCTAGCTACAACAATAATACAACTCTTATTACTAGGAAAACAAAAAGCACATAAAAGCCAGCATGTAATTTACTAGTAGGAAGTGTAAACTAACACAAACTCTTTACCTGACTTTAAGGAATAGCTCAAAACCATTTTTCAATCTTTGAAAATTACTTATCAGATTTAAGAAAAGTAACCCTAAAGTAGTCTAAACCAGAAAATCCTGTTCTTACATCTCCCTTCATATTCCTGTACCTCCTGTAAGAGGCAAGCTCATGACACACAATTTAAAAATTAGGTATTTGATTAAACAATCAACCTGCCTGTACATGATTACTGCAGATGACCTCCAAGAAAACCAATCCTAACCCTAACAATAAAGATCCAGAAGCAGAAGCACCCGGTGCTGTCACAATTCTGTCACAATGCCCTGGCTCAGGTCACCCCAGAGATGAGATTATTCATTAGCATACAGTAATGTGGGATGAAAATAAAAACTAAGGGTCAAATTTAGATCCTATTTACAACATTGTAATTGTCTGCTAGACTAAGTAAAAGCAAAGCAGAGGTGGAAATATTACTTTGTTCATTTTAAAAGTAAATGCTCCTGTGAACTGATGGAAAGTGACCTGTGCTTTTGACAGAATTCCCCACTATTTCACCAGTCTTTGTTCATACTCCCCAATTTGTGATTTTAAAAGTGATTTTAAAACACTTTAGGAATAAAATTTTGTGCATTAATTATGATCAGAATAGTTACTTTACAATATTGATTATCAGAATAAAGATGACATAGTAAGTCTGAATTGTTAAAGATTGCTCAAAGAGAGCTGCTAAAAAGCTTTCCTCTCCCACTCTCCTTGCATCTGCAACATATGAGCAGATGTCTAATTTACTGGTAGGATTAACTTTTTCCTTCTGTGCTAGAGATTTTAGTAGTAATATATATACAGAAAGGAAAATTAATAAATGTACTATATTTTCCCCCCTCTAAAAATACTGTCTTATATTTAAATAAACAGTCTGAAATGCACTATTTTAGCAGGAAGTCTGTATTCAGCACTATAAAAAATCAGGCCAACCCTTTCAGCATTCTATATTTAGGTTAAGCTTTGCATATTTTAAATTGTTCACTTTTATTTCACTAATGGGGGTGAATACTAAAAATCCAGCAAACCCAAACCATTCAATTTTTGACAATTATTCCCACGTATTTGCCTCCATCAATCTTAAACAGAAAGAATCCAATATAGGCAACAGACAACGAATTTTGCTAAACATACTCTAGGTTTTCACACACAGATAGACAACTTATTCAGAGAGAACAGGGAAATATCAGTTTGTTGTCCACTGAGGATGCTTTATATCATGTTATGAATTGAGAGTTCTTGTTTTCCGAGGCCGCTGTTCTTTGTAATGTAAATGTGCTAATGAAAGCAATGTCTCATGCCTGCAGATGAATTACATTCCATGAGTGAGAATAACTACTGCTGGTCTAACAAATGAATTTGGTGAGTTCGGTACAATTGATATAATGATAAACATAAGCAGGTGGTGCAGGTGTTCTCAGACAATACTTTTTCAATTTTACTAAATTTTCTGCCTATTATCATGCATAGTCACGTGCAGTGAGAAGATATGAGTAAGACTGTAGTTCTCAAGGAACCAGCTGATGGGAAAAGTAACTTGTAAGTATCGGAAAATTATGGAAATTTTCCACTGAAATTTTATGATTTCGAATTATTATCATAATTACTACTATTATTATCATAGCAATTGAGAGATTATAAGGCTTTGATGTGACAAGAATAAAAGATATACCTTTGGAAATGCAAACATTGGTTACGTAAATGAGGAGTAAAGTGTAAAAAGAAATTCCTACACTAAGAAATAATAATGATGATACTATTTAAATACCAGTGGCTCAAGACCAGTGCTGTTTGCTCTATTACATACAGCCATATTCAGAGGGTCAATTTATACACATGGGGAAAATAAAACAGGAAAAAAACCCCAAAAATTCTAAATCCTTAAAATTATTTATAACTGAATGTTTAAAGTATTTCACTTATTAGTGCATATAGTTTTGAAGTACAGTTGATTAATATTTGATATCCTTACTACATTAGAAAGAGAGACAGGGATCTATAAATCAGTGCCTGACAAAGAGAAATTACTAATTCAATCTTCTTCCTTGCCTTCACATAATAGAGCTGGCATGCACATGAAAAGAATGCACATGCCCAGTGATTGTCAAGATAATACATTTGAGTCTTAATTGCACATAATCATGCTTTATCACAGGCTAATTCAGAAGCTAACTTTAATATTCCATTCAAGAAAGAGTTATATTTTTTCAGATGTTAGAAGTGCCAGATAAATTATGTACCTAGATCTACACACAGCAAAAATTAAAACAAAAGAAAACAACAAAACAAAAACCCCAAACAAACAAAAAACCTAAAAATCAAACTGGCTTTTAGTACATTCTCAGTATATTCTTTTCTATTTACTACAAGGAATACAACTTTATTTTTATCTGTTTCAGACTACTTTAGTGGTGGAAGCACTGCTCTACTTTTCTATCCCCACTTAGCAGAATTCATATATCCATGTGGAATGATTTTCTGTTTTCATTTTCTTTGTCCCGCTTACCAAATATATTTTCTATCATCTTCTATTTTATCTTCTATTGCAAAATGTCATCATAGATCCCACATGTCTATCTATATATAGACATCTGCAGGCAAAATGCAATGAATTTGTAATGCTTGATAATAGGAATGTTTCAGAGAGGCTGCTTGGGTTTGACATAGCCTTGACAACTGCAAATGCTTCTGATGAAAGCCTGCTTGGCTTCCTTCGAGCTCATGTGGCTGAACTTTTGGCACATCACTTTACAAGCATTAGTTTCTACTGGAAACCAAAAGGAAAATATTTATATGAGATATAGGAAGGAGGAGGAGGAGGAGGAGGAGGAGGCAGAAGAAACGTGGGCGTAATACTGGTCATGGGCAACACAATGCAACAAGTAAAGGAAGAAAGACAAAGAAATGGGAAAAATAGTGATCAAGCATGAAGGTAACAAACTTAACTTTCTCTTTGTCAATGTCAGACAACATCCAAGGCAGGGGAAGAAGGGTGATAAAACTTTGTAAAGGTGCAAGTATTTCCCAAGAGTTATGAAACGGATGTTACCATTGTATTTGAACCTGTGTTTTAAACTCAGACCTGAGCCTGTCCAACCTTAACAGTTAGCTCTGAGCTAAAACAAAACAAAGCATAAATATACATGCAAACTAAATTCAAGGAAGGCTGTAAGCTGGTCCAAATTAAGCTCCTCAGATGTTTATCTTTTTAAATATATCTTCTTTTAATATGAGAAGGTCTGTTTGTTTATGACATTTATTGACATATACCTTCATCATTGGGAAGTTATAATTGCCTCTAATGAAAAATGAAGTTGATTTTTGTCTGTAATAAAATTGGCCTATTAATCTAATTTTTAATTGTATAAGAAGACATAACTGTGATTATGCATATTACAGTTATTTACTCTTTTACAAAAAGTTCTTTTCACATTGTCAACTTTTTCACTTACTTGAGGGAAGGAGGACATGTAGAAGCACAGACACTAAGTTATTTGCCCTGATAATTTTCCTTTTTCACCCCTTTTTATTGGCATATCTCATGTACGTTCAACAGCCTTACTGATAGCATTTGTCTGATTCTGCAAGTAGTGAAAAGAGTGGAGTGCAAATAATTCCATTGCCACTATATTTTTTAATGTCACATAAAAATTGTTCCTTCCCAACAATCTTTAAGAGAAAGAAAAATAAAGTATTTTCTTTTTTTTTTTTTTTTCTTCTAATGGTGGTTTTTCAGCTTCCTTATATACCAAGTTCCCTGTAGATAACGGCCTTGTAAATTGAAGTCTAGCTGAAATGGAGAGACAGAATGGTTTCCTCTCTTAGGAAGTAGAAAACTTAATTTCTTAAGCATTTGAGGGGTTTGTTGATGGTTTTGTGTTGGTTTTGTTTTTTGGTTTTTTTTTTTTTTTTTTACTTCACACATATTAATGTTAAATTACCTGGTGAAGAAGCATTCTAACTTTGGTCCTTTTTGATGATAAGAGTTAATGGATATTATTCAGCCATTTTACTCAGTAATTAGATTTGGAGTTCACTAATTTAAATAGTCACTGCAGTAATCTCTCTGCAGCAATTTATGCAGTGCTGTTACATTAAATTCATGGATATGGAGCATGTAAATATTCTGGTGAGATCAGACTGTACTTAAGAAGCTTCAGAAGGTGAGGTTGGTCATTTGAATATAAAAAACTGTGAGAATTAACAAACCTTTAATATATTTATTTTTTAATTAATAAACATTGTTTGCACAATTGTTTTAGTTCTTCTCCACAGAACTATCCTATTATGTAGTCAGCAATACTTCAAATGAAATGTTTTGTTTTACAACCAGAATGCTTGCAAACATCACATCTATCCCCAGCAGAGGGGGTATTTCAGGATAAAATGAACTTGCATTTTTAAAAATCTAGGTGATTTTGACATGATATGCTATACCAAGAACAAACACATTTTAGAATGAACTGTCCCCAGTCCATTGCCAGCCCAAAGTCTTCGATTACTTTTAAAAATAGTTCCAATCAAGTGTCATAAATGGATGCAAATTTTATTGTTTATAGGTGTTTATAGGTGTTTTTATGTCTTGTAGCTCCTGCTGCACTAGAAAAGTTTGGAAGAAAGGTTTAACATGGCTGGAGAGGGACTTAGATATGGAGCACCTAAAATTAAAATCCAAACAGCTGGCTAAAAAATAATTTAAAATGTTGGATAACCTAGGATCTCAGCAACAGATATAACCTGAAGTAGAAGGTATGCAGAAACGTATCAACCCTGTTGAGAAAGCAAATACGTTTGAGAGAAGAGAAGAAAGAGATTTTTCATTTCTTGGGAGTATAGATTAAGTGAACCACACTGCAGGTTTCCAGTAACAAGAATGGTCCCACTCTTTCCTGCCATCCCGACATTACTGTTCCTGTGTCTCAGCTTGAATCCACCAATGCTGCACTTGCACATTGAACCAACTGAAATTACACAGCTAAAAAAGGATTATAATTACTTTAAAAAGGCAAGTATAAGGACCAGAAGAGATGGGAGGAAACACTTGGGAACACGCTGCTAGAGAGGAGGATGGCAGAGAAGACTGTTCCTTTTGGCTGCATGCTGTGTTACAACAAAATCTCACCTTTACTGTTAGCAGAACAAACATGGTGTTTTTTCTTTCTAGTTACTATTTGCCTTTTGTAAACATTTGCAGCTGTTCTCTATTTGGATGCTATTATTGAAAATTAATCAATGTTTGTCTTCTCCTTCCCCATTCATTTCTCTTGTTCTCCAGCACAATAGGCTACACCTCACTCAGTATCGCAGCCCCCACTGTCATTTTTCTTAGCAGCCTACAAACTGTCAAGCTCAGGCTGTCACTATCACACCCAAAGTCTGAGAAAATCTCTATGCATCACCACTCAACTACATTGTTAAATCCTTATTATATACCCTCTTTCAATATTTCTCTATCTGGTTGGATATTGCCTGCTTCTTGAAAAGTTATTGCTTGAAAAAGATCTTCTGCTTCATACAAGTTTCACTTGTTTTGCTCTCTACAACTACTCGAAGGGAGGTTGCAGTGACATGGGAGCTGGTGTCTTCTCTCAAGTAAGAAGTGATAGGAGAAGAGAAACTGCTTCAAGTTGTGCCAGGGGAGTTTCAGATTCGATATCAGGAAAAAAATTTTCACCAGGGAGGTTGTCAAGCTGTGGAACAGGCTGCCCAGGGATTGAGTCACCATCCCTGGAGCTATTTGAAAGACATGTACATGTGGCCCTTAGGGACATGGGTTAGTGATGGACATGGGTTAGTGATGGCAGTGGTGTGTTAACAATTGTATTTGATGTTTGTAAAGGTCTCTTCCAACCTAAATGATTCTATGATTCACAAATTCATCCACAAAGGTCTCTTTCTGTTATCATTTAAAGGCTTCCAAAAGCCTTTCCTGTCCATATTTAAAACAGTGTTTGTGTTTGATACTTCCTTTAGACTGCCAGCAGGCAGGAAGCATTTTGTGGTTCCTGAACACTTGGATAACATTTTGCAGATTGTGGATTCCACCTGCAGCTAAAAATATGACAGCATAGAATCTGCCCATTTTCCCAAATGGAATATATCATGTATAATACATTAGGAGTGTGTATTTTCCTGTGATCTTTGAAGTAACCTATGATTTTTTTCTAATGGAGTCTCTTACTATATTATTCAGCACACAGTATTTACAATCTCCAGTATGTTTCACATCATAAGCATGCTACAGAATGCAAATATACAGTTCTGTTGTGAAACCTGCATTACCCAACTAGTCAGGGCATGTTGAATGGACACTGCTGACGATATTCTTTTAATAGAAGTGTTTTGGAACTTTAATCAGGCAATAAATCTGCAAAATGCCCAGCCCACAAGTCTGGCACCTGGAGTCAAATGAGGATCATCACAGGCCTGAAAAAGATATAGCCCTTACTGTGACATTTCCATGGCTTCAGTAGCTGAGTACTAGTGGCCCATAAAGAGCGTTCTTTAGCACCACGTAACAGAGACTACTTGAGAGGTCATTTATGTCACTTATGGCCAGCTGAACCTTATCTGTTACTCTCTAACTTCTCCCAAACCTGCAGTTCTTCAGCTCCATTTGTTTCCCCTTCCCTACATATCACTCAAATCAGTTTGACATTTTCAGTGACTACAAAAGCTGCAGTATAAAAGTATGAAATGTATATGAAATATCTCACAATACACATTTTAAATATGTGCTGTACCCATGTTTTCCCAGGCTGTCCAAGCAATTTCTTTGCTAAATGCTACACAGATATCTAAAAACATTTGCCTAATTCTTCATTTTTCAGAAATATAATAAGGAAAGGAGGTGTATCTACATTACCTAAAGGGAGTTTAAATATATGCTCTAATTAACAGTAGTCTAACATTTTGGACTAGCATTATCAATTGTTTAGGCTTTTGTTTGTTTGTTTGTTTTGGTGAGCAGCTTTTCCCCGTGTTTCTAAATTCAGTCACAAAGCATGATAATCATGTGCCTGAACCCAGACACAGAGTTCCAGTTTTCAGACACTGTCTCCAAGGAATCCCAGCTAGCCTCCAGCTGCTGCCTGTAAAAGTCTCTCACTTGTAATCTCTGTACATCTACCAGACCTGTTTGGCTGCCTCAGCCACTCAAAAGTGTATGAAATGGCAAAAAGTGCCAGATTTTGGAGAAACTAAATTACCCTTTGATGAGAGCCTTCTGAAAAGTTGAATAAGTGAAGCCTTGAGAGCCAGAGAGTCTTTTGAGAGTCAACTGAAAAAGATTCATGGAGAGTAATTTTTTTATAACCCATGTTACATCTCATGTTGCAACAATTCTAAACAGTCCTATACATGGGACTGTTAGGGTGCCTTCACATCAGAAGGTTTGCCCTCCATTTCATCCAGGTATGTAATACTGTGAATGTGCTTCCATGTGCTCAGGTGAGACAAACAGACATACAAATTTTCTTTTAAGAAAAAGGAAGTGTTGCACCACAGAGTGTACGTTGGTTACACTGGAAGAATACACAGAACAGCTTCCAGATTTCTTGGCTTTCCTTGATTTCATGACATGGCTACCTTATTTTTCCAGACTGTTTGTGCAGGTTTTATAAAAGTACCACAGACATAAGTCCTGCTCACCCTTGGTGAAACATTCAAATTGTGAAAATGAAAGAGTAGGAAATTCTGGAAAGGTATTTGTCTGAATGACAAATCCTTGGAGGGCCATTATTATGGTCCTCTTTCAAAAGGCCAATAAAAATTAACATATTGAAAATAAGATAGAAAGAAACATAAAGTATCATAATGGAAAGTCCTTGAAAGCTGTGCAGTTAAGAACCTTGTAAATTCATTGTGGTCGCCTTTGTAGTAATTTTAGCAAAGAAATAGCTAGAATTTTCAGTTTTCAGCTTCAGTTTTCTT